ATTATTTATTACTCACTGAAAAGCCCGTTCTTAAAAGATGGAAAAGAACTAGGTGACACAGGAGTAACATGCAGTGCATGCATTGCTTCAGTCTTCTGATGGATAGGTTGCAAAATGCCTGGGTTTATCTAACCAGAAAACAAAGCTAAAGTTCTGTCAGACTCAAAATTGGATTGTATTTCAGTTTCGCCCTAGAACAGTACACTGTTTGGTGGTTCGTGTTTAGTAAAGAACGGACAATAAGCAGCAGCTCCGTAACTAGATTCAAAGGTATCAAAAAGTAAAGGGAATTCGAACTTTTAAGATCACCTTTTTCCTTATTCCTTGCACCCCTTGGCACAGCTATCAGCCTGGGGTTTTGCGTAAACATCAAACAATCTATCCACAAATTTAGGTAAACGAAACTCATCGGCTTCTCATAAACAGCATTAGACTTTCAAAAACGTTTCAAGAATTGATTGGTGGGGAGGTAAAAAGGAGTAATCAGATCGGGCAAGTCAGGCAGAGTCGGGACAGTGGATAATATTCCCCTTCCGATCGAGGATATTTCACCGTAGTCAAACCAAAAGTTCGAAACACCGTACGTTACTTTCACTTGGAGGCCCGAGACTCTGCGGTTGGAACATCCACCTACACGCAGACTAGCAGCGGTCTCCATGTTGTTCCAATCCGGAAGAACCATTCCTTCTACCTCTGAATTAGTAAAGCATTTCGACGAGACTATGTTCTTACCACCTGGTCCACTAGTGCGTCCGACTTGAATTTCCATAGCCCTCTTGAACGAAGTGGTTAAGCGCCTCTTTCACTAGCATTTCGATGTCTCTGTCACTTATCCTTCGTTAACCACTAGTCAGGAATTGTGGGAAGACTGATTATGAACTGGGTCGGCAAACTAGCATTTTGCTTGGCCAAATTTTGATTAATCACCTGACGTGGGCATAAGATTTGAAATCCCAAGGCGCACAGTACTTCAAACAATCTATAAGAACAGCCCTTTGATCCGTCCGTGAAGAAGCGAGAGTTGTAATTTTCCCGGCTGAAGTCAAACACTCGTGAACCTATTCGGTGTAAACAGTCAGCTTGGAATCAATGGAGAGCTTCTAGTACCATTAGATACTGGAAGAATCAAGAAAAAATCCACAAAAGATGCATGACCGAAATAGGAAGAGATATTGTTAATTACTGGGTACATCAACATAAAATATCTCAAGGTTATTACAGGGTATCGTACACACTGATGAAGAAGAACGGTAAGATTTCACTCAGTTCGCAGTCTGGCAGTTCGGTGGCCCACCAAACTAACCGTGAGTTTCGGATTATCCGGCCCGGAAACCCTAGAGTTATTTTTGTCAATTGTCAGTGATGACTGTGAAGCCAAGTAGACACTCAAAATGTGGAGTGGTTATGTAGTACGGGATTTGAGCCCCCTAAAATCAGGAATACAGTACACACGAATTGACAGTACGCGCCGGATGGTACCCAGAGAGAGTACGGATGCCCCCACCATCCCACCGGTGGACCCCTTTAGATATTCGCTTCATTATCATTCGGAACGACCGGCTGTCGTCTCAGTATCCATAAGTGGAAATTAATTATTTCTCTCCAATCACAGACCAGCATCTCTAGTGTCTCCAGTTGCAAGGGTTATGGAGAGAGCAGTAAGTGATTCATTTTGGGATTGCTCACCTAGTAACTAGATCCAAACTGATCGCTAACACGGATTTCCTCCTAAAAGCTCATGTAACATTGACTTATTGACGGAATGGAGCAGTTTGATCTCTGTTGGTCAAAAAAGCACGTTCGTACTGGGTTACTTGACTCTTTCAAGCCTTTGACCTAGTTGGCCGTGACATTCTACACAGGAAATTTCACTTTGTGAGGTTAAATGGGGATTTACGCACGTTAGGGATTACCTAAACAGCCAGTCCTTCTCTTTTCGCCACCAACTTTACGAGAAAATCCTTGACGTACTTTCGATAAAAAATATCAGCTTAATGAATATACTGCTTGGTACATGATATTGGAAGTGGTCGAAAAATTACTCAGCCGCCCTTCTCAAAGCGTTCTCCTATTATCTAAACAGTTTCACAAGAAACTCACCAGCTAACATGCGCTCTTAATGACACTATATAGTTTTATCAACCATTATCAATTTGATGGTGCATGTAAGCCGGCTCATCTCATGCTAAACTCGTAACATGAGGATAAAAGCATTTATCTATTCAGGAGAGGGGTCCTTATCATCTAAGTGGTTTCCGATACGGGGTAGGTTATCTCAGAGTTTGATTGGTGATCCACTGCTTTTTTCTCACCCTTCATGTGATTTTGTCAGCCAGACTAAATTTTCACCCACTTCTGTATGCCAATGGTCCTAGGCTTTGAAGGTAGAAATGGAGGCCAACGGGAATCTCGGCTCTACTGAGGGATCTTCTCATAATTGTGAATCGGACAGCCGAGAATCTGCCACCGCTAAAGACGGAGACGTAAGGATAATGGTTGTAGACGAATATGTGTAACTCTGGTTATTACCTCCGGAAGGAAATAATTATCTCTCATTCAAGCGTTAAAAATGGCCTAGAGGTTGCCTCAACTGATCCCCTTGGAGCTCCTATCATTTCGCGTCCAACGAGGTGTGTGAGATCCTAAGGTTTCTCTTAAACTCTAAGGTCTCCAACTTCAGGCGTTTTCACTGCAGTGCACAGACTACACCTTCATCTTCAACTGGAAGAAGATCGGCTATTCATCTCCATACCTGAAGAAGGACCCAACCACCCCACGAAGTGTTCAGACAGGAGCTACGAAGACCGGACTTCTCCATAAACCTTCTCTGGATCGCTTACTTATTCCTAAGCTGCATCCAGCCCAATTCAGGAAGGATGAAGGGGATATAATCGTGGTGTACCATATCGCCCGTAATCCTTTCGCCCTAACCGATGGCACTTAAGCTTTGACCGAAAACAGCAACTCAAAGGTCATCATTTAAGAGTGGAGTATTAGAGAACACCAGCAGTGGCCCATGATACCTTGTTTGCCATTAGATAATGTGAGACTCCCTTCTTGAAGACGTTTCCGTGGCCCCTTCCCCATAACCCTTCAAAAGTAGACTCGAGACACACTTGGGACCCTGCAGTACAAATGGCCTGCACTCAGGAAGCCACCCGTCTCACCTATCCCGGGGCAGCAGCACTTCCTGCAACAAGCTGGTTGACTAATTCGGTAATGATCCCTATCATTTCAGTTTTTTTGAACTGGGAAAAGGACTGACAATTCCAAACAACAAATAGATTTCATCCAGACCCCCGGAACCCAAGGAACCTTTGCTCACTATTTGAATTATACGAAGTTTGATGTTTTTATACTGACCGTTCATGGTAATTCACCCCTCTATCATTCTTATAAAAAAGGACAAGAACAGAGGCATTCATCAAAATGGCATTTCTCAATACAACAGATACATTTTGGTTGGTTATAGCCAGTAGAAGAATCCAAGATGCGCTTTTCGTCCCATTTTGGACCCGTCGGCTGGGTGTCCCCGCACCCCAGTGATGTTGTTCTCACTGAGATCCAAACCCCATACCCATCGCTTCAAACGTCTAGGCGCTACCCACTACGCCAATGAGGGAAGATAGCCACTTCTTGTACAACGGGCAGTAGTTATTACTATTTATTGGCATGCTTGTTATTCTCCGCATCCTCATAGGAGCCCATATGCTAATAGAGGTTGAACAATTCGATCCAACAAAACAACGGACAATAACAAGTATGTCAATAAATGGTAATAACTATCACCCGTTGAACAAGAGGTGGCTATCATTCCTCTGTGGCATAGTGGATACCGCCTTGGCGTTTGAAGCGATGAGTACGAGGTTCGAGCCTCAGTGGAAGCAGCACCCCTGAAGTGCTGGTGCATCCAGCCGACGAGTCCCAAATCGGAAGAGATGCCCGTCTTGGACTCTTCTGCGAGCTACAACCAACCAAGTCATCATGAATTACATTCAAACAGTACCAAGGCATCCGCATTGGAGCCCATATGTCAATAAAGGTAGAACAATTCGATCCAACAAAATATCGGAGAATAACGTGCATGTCAGTAAATAGTAGTAACAATAGATATAGTCTAGAAAAGGGGTTACCCAGAAGTTGTCATGGGCAGCCGGTAAAAACACAGAGGCTAACCGCACTTGTCGGATTCCCATGACTGATAGGTCATTGGGTTTTTTCAAACACTTGGTCTTAGGATAGCAGACAATCAGCTCTTCTTAGTCTCTTCCTGGTATATCTCTATGCCTGGCCAATCCTCTCTTGAATGAGTCAATTGGTGACTGGGACGTCACTTTCTTTGTGTCGGCTCCACAATCACTCGTCGCGAAAACCAGCATTTTGCAGAAAAGACATTCATGATGTGCTCTCGAAGCCTCATGCTGGTTCTAGCTAGTGGCAATAAAAAGCGGAGACGCAGACCAAGTACAAAGCCATTTTTAGTTTTAGCATAACATGATCAAATCTCCCATCTGTCCGTGATCAGATATAGATAAGTGTTTCAGCTCATAAGGTCGATCTTCGTAGGATGCTTATGACCATCCTCTGAACCACTGCACAAATCTATGAGACAACTCTTAGGAAAGGATTTAGAAGTTTTGCAAGTTTTTAGCTTAGGTCTAAATAAGGATAGGTTTATGGCGGCGAACGTATAGCCACTTATCTTATTAAGGAGAAATGCTGTCCTAAAAATCGAAAATACTATTATTTAGCTGTGCGCCGAGGTCCCAAAGTCACGACTCTATGAAAATTTAGGGTATTGTGGGTCATTACTGACGGTAAAGGACTGTCACTAATATTGTAGTTGCTGTTCTTGACCTGCACCATGTTTATACGCACACTGATACACTGTGTTTTCGTATCTGCACTGGCGTGGATGAATAATATGAAATTAGTTGGATTACGATCCTAGTTCATTATAATAATTTCAATGAGAATGTCGTCACATTATTTTTGCAACACCAGTATTGAAGGTTGAGGCTATTCTTGCAGAAGCGGCAGTTCAACTGGTTACCTTACTCAGCAATGTTTAGGAATCAGTACGACCACGATGTTTCCATATGGAGTCCACAAGGACGAATACACCAAATTGAATATGCCATGGAGGCTGTGAAGCAAGGCTCAGCAGCTGTAGCATTGAAAAACCACGACTATGCTATTATTGTTGCTTTAAAAAGAGCGCCGTCGGAACTGTCATCTTACCAGGAGAAGATTATCCACATCGATGATCATGTTGGCGTCGCCATTTCAGGGTTAACGGCAGACGGAAGGCTACTGAGTCGTTCTATGCGCCGTGAGTGTGCAGATAGCAGATGGGCATATGATGAACCTTTGCCTATATCCCGTTTACTTTCGAAGATCACCCTGAAGATGCAGATTCCTACTCAGAGGTATGGTCGGCGTCCTTTTGGCGTGGGGATGCTGGTCACTGGTTATGATGCATTAGGGCCACATGTGTACTACTTGGTAAGTTTCATTTACTAGACCCCACAGGCGCCGGTAGGTGATGGGCCCCCACCAATTATCATTGATAGTTTTTGGCAGATGAAATCTTACTAGTATGCGTTAATTCAGTCATCTGTTTCTTTTTCGTGTTATTTATACCGGTAAAACTTGATGACAGTATGTTACCTAGTATAACCTGTCACCAGCAGATTTATGAAGTCAGACTGTGAATATGAAGGTAAAATAGTTTTAGTACGTCAATTTTATGTGTAACATTTCACCCCATAACAATGCCACTGGGGGCTAATAATGGTTCCTAACAGGTAATAACAGTCGGAAAGAGTACTGTTTATATTTATCTGATGTATATGAAGATGCTGTCATCGTTACTTTTGGTAGATTTCATACTGTGACAACCTGAATTCTAAAGACAATCGTTTGCTACTCTCATAAAAGTTTTAGGTACTTCCATATCTTTCAGCGAAAGAGTCTTTCTAACTGACGTTCTTATAATTGAGAAATCCATTTTAATTTGACTTACTGGTATCGAAAATGTTGCTCACTGACGTAAGCACTCGTCTACTGACAAATAAATCCTATATCTATACTTCGCTTAAACTTTTTCGGTCTGGGCTTTGAATGGTGTCTAAAGTCTTCACAATAAGTCTTACTCAAAGGCTAGTATAAATACATCAGTGAGTTTTAATGTGATGCAGTGCTGAAAGTGAATTGTCTTCGACGTACACAAGTAGTACGTTACTTAGTATATAAAGTATTTAAGTTGCTTATAGTTTATTCCATCTTTTCCACACAGTATTTTAGTGTGTCTACGTTCTTTTCAATCACCATCAAGCTTGTGTAAAGTTTCAGGACAGTCTTTTTGTAGTTATTCCTAGCTCAGAGCTGTTATTGTGTATGAAGATCATTCCACAATATTAGTATACGATCCACCTTGCTCACAGATTTCGGATTTGTCTGCTGACTAAATTGCAGCGTATAACTTAGGGTATCAACAGCGATATGAGCATTTATTCCTCACCTGCAAAGTTTATGATTTATTCAGGTTGAGATTTTATCTATATAGACAACGAAATTTTCACTCGTGTTATAGTAATTGTGACTCATCCACAGCAGTGCATATGACTATCAAATAATAAATTTTGGGTTCAAATCCCGCACCACCTCTTGTTAACTGGGTAACCAGATGGTATCAAGCCATGACAAGTTTGGCTCGTAGTTCCGTGGATAAGCATGTGCCTTGAAAGCAAGTTACATTATCGGGGATAAAATGTATTCGTGCTTCGATTTCATACGTACCGTAATACCTCACCTGTAGTTTCTTACCTTATCGTTTCATAAACAGCTGTGATACCGTTTCTGACTGCAGCACTAAGTGCCTATAAAGTCATCACCGTTAAAGAGTGCCAACAAGCATTACATCTAGGTTCAGGACTTCCAGTTGATCATCCTCAATTGGCTTACGTCTATTTGTACCAGGTAGCTTGTGAGCCCAACTAACAGTTGATACTTTCACTTAGTGGTCCGGTTTGCACCTTGCAATGATCTGACTAGTTATACTGACTGGGATGAATATTCCTTGAGGTGCTACCACAACTGGAGTATCTATTGGATTCTAGTAGAACAAAAAGTAGTTATAGTGTTGATCGCTTCGCTATAATGGGGTCTGATGTTGACGTCGTACTGCTGGGTGGATGGAGTTTAACAGCAATAAGATGTTTCCCTCGGATGACCAGTAGTACCATGTTAATGCTGCCTTCTCTACGGAAAGGAGGAGGGTTAGAAAAAGTCAACCCTAAAAGTAGGACACTCCTCCTTACCCGGTGATATTTCAGTGTAGGCGGTATTGGTTTTTCTTGTCCGGTGGTAGCACAATCAAATCTCATTTGAAAACTCGTAGGAAAGCATTGCGTGATTAGATTCAAAAGGATATCCTGTGAACGCTTCAGTCACCTACTCAATCCCTTTTATGTCTCAGGTACCTTGCAGAAACAACTTCCATAATGTGTTCAGACGGGAAGTACCAACCGTTTCAAGCACTATACAAAGCCCAGCTAACCATAACCTACCTTCCTTACCTTTATTTCTTTCCTTGCCTCCATCTTTTGGTACTAATATTAAGCCCTTTACGACTTCCTCACTCACCTTGCAACCATTGCTAACGATCCAAGCCTTCCGAACACCATTCCTAGTCTTATACCATAATACCATCTTCACATTGGACCATCCAACCTCGAGACCCTGCCAATTCAGAAAACAAGCCTCTTTTGCTGAAACTCCGGAATCTCTAGCCAAGGGTGAATGTTGCGTTTTTGAGATACCCAAAAATTGCCAGCGTGTGGTTATTCATGTGATTTCATTTGGCCAATGTGAACCTGCAAAATTTGTGCCACTAGTGTGCAGAGATTCAGTGGTTAGACCTTGTGAACTTTCTGGTGTAGCGTTAAGTTGTAGAACAAAAAGTGCACTTGTTAGGTGAATACCAGTTGACAACCGTCTGTGCGGTATCCGACTGAACTTATGTGTAAGAGCTGGAAACAATCAACAGTCACCGATGCCGGTTCTTAGTCTCCCCTTAAATTCCCACCGACTGCAATGCGGATGAGACAGAACGAATTTCACCAAAGGCTGTCAGCTACACTACTTAAAGCAAAACGTTCAGATACATTCATAGTAGATCAAACCTAAACGCTGATAGAGTCGTGAGGGTGTTCGGCACCCTTAAACTGTAGATGTTTACATCCTGAGGTGACTAGTAAAGAAAGTATATGAGTAATAGTGGTGCATGACTGCAAAACCCAGGAGACGTCTGCTTGAGATTGGTCACACGGCCTTTTTAGTAGTTTCAGCTTTGGCCTTGGTGGATCTGGATTCAGCTAGAAAACCCACACGGCTGACACCAGGAAACCATAGGGTAGGAAGGAGCGTCACTTCTGGGACCAACGTTTCCCAACCTTCCTCCTCCCTACAGAAAAGGTTGCATCAACAGAGTACTACTGATCATCTGTGAGAAGCACCTTACTGCTGCTACACCCAGCAGTACGATGTCATCATCAGACCTCATCACAGAATAGCGGTTTATACTAATACAATAATTGTTTTTTATCTTACTGCTATCCAATAAACTTTCCTGTCGTGGTCGCACTTCAATAAATGTTCGTCCCAGCCAGCATAACTCGTCGGATCATTGTAGTATTCAAACTCGACTACCATGTGGAGGTAGCAGCTTTCAGCTGGGTTGGAAACTTTAACTGTTACTCAGTTCTATAATGATCTTGGTTGACTCAGAGCCATAGCAGCAGGTGACTTTAACCCCTAACTAGAAAAGCCGAGCTAGCATCTTGGAGGTATATATGGCAACTCATACTGATAAGCCAACAACGTTGATCGTCTCACAGTTTTGTTCTAACAATCTCTTACTTCTGGTCAGCATTTACTTCGAGCATGAAGAGAGGCTCTGTCTCACTTGGTATCCACCCACCTCAAACCAACGGCGAACACATCGTTGGAGAGGACCGCTGGAAGATGGCCACTCTTTGTGAAGTACCTGCTTGAACCTCGGTCACATGTTAGTACCAGTACGTAATATTTCACACAAGAATAGGGATTAATTTAGTAGAATGCGTTAGTCAATTCACTTGGGGATTCGCACCAGCACAAAAGGTCTGTTTGACATTTAACAACTTACATAATCTTTGGCGCCGGTAACCTATCTGACTACCTGTTGAAAGACGAATATAGTATGCCGCACTCCGTTCCGTCTTATTATACGGTTGTAAAACGGCTTCTGAGCATAAATATGACGAGATTACAGGTCTTTGTAGCATTCCTCGTATATGGTGGAATCACCGTGTTTACAATATCTAGGTTGGGCTTAGGGTATTAGGAAAGGAAGGTAAGTCAGGCAATCAAGCTATGAACCTTCACCAACTGAGGTGCGTTGGACATGTGTTGCCTATACTGAACCACCACCTACCTCGGTGTTCATTAGACTGGATTCAAAGCAGACAGAGTGATCAGACCAAGACTTGGTACTAGTTCACGAAGTCTCTGACTGTTAGCCTGATTCTTGTAGGGGATTGTAAACTGGGGGTCCTCGAGACGATAGGAATTAGTGGTTGGAGACTTTTTGATATGGCTGAAAATCAGATACAACGACACAATGCATGCACTTCATCATTACCGAAGTCTCGAACATTTTGTTAACCTTTATCTACTTAGTCCATCTCCTATATATATCATATCATTTTCCTCTATTCACTCTTTCTGTGCAAACATTGCATACTTTGTAGCAATAAAGTTTGACAACTTGAACCGATGCACTCCTGTGCCAAGTTCTAGACTGATCTATCTATGTCTGTGAGTATTGACCACAAAATCTCCACAGACCCACTGAAATGCTTTAGTATAAGCATCTTTACCTTTTTCCACAACGCGATGCGACTGCAGCAAACATGGTGCTATATTGTGAATATCAAGCAGGTTATGTAGTCCACAATCACATCTTCCAACCGGTGGTTCACAAATCCTGCGCAAAATTGCATTGTTTAAAGTTGCCATACTTGATTATTATTTTGTAATTCGTCTCCCATGTCTCCGCGTTGCTGTTCCCTATTGTGACACGTTTCTTAGTGCCTCAGTATATTAAGACGTTTCTCAATTTATCTTGAACGGTTACAAGACAACGCAAATACACACAACAGTCAGCTTTACTTGTTACAAGGTGTTTGGTGAAAGCACATAGTTCTAGTTGGTAACTTCAGTTCACATTTATTTCATTTTGAGAACATTTCTGAGTCAGCCCTACAGAAGATGCACAGTAACAATGTAGTTCTGTTACCTTTTAAGCACCTTAAATATCCACACGTTACCTTACTGTAATGAATGGGTGTCCGCCATCATAGTCCATAATACTCTTGAAGGGCTGTTAAAAGTCTGCGGCTGCATTCAATTTCGACCAACTGCTATAAATGGTCACGTAGTATCAGTTCTGGTAGTGTGATGGACGATATTTCTCAACTTACTGCATAAACCAGAGTAACACACTAATATACATCATTTTGGATGCTGTTGCGCAAATAAAACTGGAACATAAATAGTTCTTTTTTACCCGTATGAGACCCAATGTTACCTAGACGAGGACAACAAAGTACTGAATTCAATTCATATTAACGCTGTAAGATAACTGGTATCTGTTGACAATACCATATAAGTGATTCTAATGTCTAATTATGTTTTTCGAAGTTAGTGGAGATCGTCATTGTCCTAATGATGATGGTTTGAGAATACTGTTTCTGTAGAGTTCACACTAGTCAATGTTTTCTTTTTTTGATATCACAGCTGGTTTAACGAATTGAAAAGGTGGTCCGTTTTCGATGTTATGTAAAGGGAAATCTTGGATTAATATCTTTTAATACATAACTCCTGGGATGATCTGCTAAAGAACACATAGGTTAATGATTAGAAAAGTTATCAGGTGTATTTTGTGAGAGGTTAATAGCTATCTGGCCGTAATTATCCGCTCAGTGTTTTCTTCAGTGGTGCAAAGAAAGATAACTTGTCTGGCCGTATCTTATATAACTAATCGTTTCCTGATTGTTTCGTTAATTTTCGCTGCATACCTTTTATTACAATTCTAGCGGTGAAATATTATTCCATGTGATCCCATTCCTTGGCGTTCATGTTGCACTGAGTTTATGTTGAATTCGTAATATCTGTGCTTTGGTGAATTGTCCCTCAAAAGCAGCAATTGTATCTTAGGACTGAGTTCATGTTGGAATGTGTATAATATTTGTATTGAATTTCTAAACCATTATGTACCACATTTTGAATACAATAGTAGTTTATTTAGCATACCGAAAATTCATATTTTTGAATCTTTTTCATTTTCCAACTTAAAAACAACTTAAGTGTCCTTCTTCAAATGCATATGACTGCAAGTGCATTGCTATCGGATCTCGCTCTCAGTCAGCTCGTACATATTTGGAACGAAATCTAAATGAGTTTAAAGGTTCTTCGTTAGATGAGTTAATTTGTCACGGACTAAAAGCTTTGAACAGCACATTACCAAATGAAGTTAGTTTGAATACGAAGGTAGGTTAATTTTTACTGAAACAAATTCGATTCACAATGCCGCATAAGTGAATTTTAAGAGTTTTATGCACACTTTTCTGACTACTCTCTTAAATCAGAACATTAAATTACTAGCACTATTCGCAGTATACATTTTTCTCTAGTACGTCACTTGACTGTAAAATGTCTGAACTGTATTATTATTTTAGCCATAGTTAATATCTTAGTACATAAATCTTCCATAGCTTTCTTATTCGCATATGTGTGCTGCTACTTCGGCTCCTTTGTCCACAGCAACCGACTAGTCAATCAATAACAACCTGAAGCCTAACATTCCTGTGTAACCCTAGCATCAGCACAAGTCGAAAGATGATGGGATCGAAGTTTTATGGTCAAAAGTCGTAGGAAGTTACTTATGGAAAGAAAAAGAGAGGATGTAAAGCAGAACCGAATAGTGTCATAAGCTGCTATATAAGCGTAACTTGCAGTTACTTGTTAGGAGAAAAAGAAAGTTATCTAATTCCCTCAGCTACACTTCTCGACAAGAGGTAGTTTTACTACATAAGACTGTTGGAGTGTCATTTTCCTTACTGGAGAACAGCTATTCATAATACTGAGACGAATGCAATTTATAAATCAATTGTTCTTAAACATTTTTTTGTGGAAATTTCCAACTTTGTTGTATAAGATAATGTTTTCAATAAATGACCTAATCTTACTTTTAGTTTCCTGTCAATCAGTCCAGTTGTCATCTAGATTGGATACGTTTTCATATACGACCCCATGTATAAAATTCCTTTTTGAATATTATTGAAATGAGTCCCCTACGTTCATACTCTTCTTTGACAAAGTGAGCAGTAAAGTCATGAATTCATGTATCATAGTTACCATGAAACAAGTAACTTGTATTTGTCTTTTTGAAATCGAAAATGTATCTCAGAAAAAACAAGTCCTTTGAAGATTCCACTTTCCTGAAATATATCATCAGTAGATAGCTTGTAGCATAATTTCACTCCACGGCCAGTCAGAAGTTCATTTAATAAATTATGTGTTGCGCATATTGTGTGAATGCTACCTGATTTCTGTAAGTTTTGTGTGAGGAGCACGTCTCAGTATATTCGTTTGTGAGGTGCAAGTTTGTCACAATATAGTCACTAAAACACGGGATTGTAACAACACTCTGAAGGCCAGAAGAAAAATGAGATACTTAACTACTTGTTTTACTTCTCAGTAATACAATAAAAGGAAACTAGCATTATCGTCATGGTTTTGATTTTGAGCCACATCTTATGATGCATTGAGTCACTGATTTGCATGATCATAAAGTCACGAAGCTAACCGATTGTAATTATACTTCATCCCATGGCGATACGTCATCAATTAGTCACCTCTCTACTCCTTTCTACCGATCCCAGAGCTGGGAACCATTGAGTAGTATGGGAGCTGATGAGATGGACTATGTAACGTGCATCCAAACTACTTAAGCTAAATGTTCCAAGATAACTTCACTCAGCAAATCCTGATCTCTATCTTGACTAATAAACTGATAGACCTCAGAACTAATTATGTGAAGTTTTCATCGAATCTCAGCAATCAATTGAACACTGTATACTCTTACTTAGAAAGGTTAGGACTTTTCATACCGATTTATTGTACAGAAAGTTATAGCCAAACCAACGTCGTAATGGCATTGTATTCATATTAGCATACGCCGCTCTAACTTTCTGTACATAATTGTAAACCTATTCCGTCAAACCAGTGTGGAACTGTTAATCATTGGTTGATGCTTTCGACTTTCAACCAGTGTGTCACTGGTCCTAAAACGTCTACATGCACTGAGATTTTATTAACCAGTTAGTATCATATAAACCCTTATAATGAGTTTGGTTTACTGTCTAGTGAACTAGACCGTACTTGCTTTCTGAGTTTCCATACAATTACTTGAATTCCCACAAGTGCTCACTTTCATAAAGCCAATTTTTTCCATTTTCCATAAAGGATAAGTGCTAATATAAGCTTCTTTGAATCTTGTGAAAACGCTGCAATTCGATAGTGCAAAACACATTTCATACACAAACTGGGCTTCTTACTGCCCGTTACTGGAGTGGGTTGAAACTCTTTGTAGCCGTTGTTAAATTTAGCTAATTTTTCTATCTTAATCGTGTGAAGAGACCACCAATTATTATGCCTGTTGCACAAACAATATATTATTTCCTGTATAAAGGATTTACACAAGCCACTGCACTCGTTATCCACTGAAATTGATTAACTAGCGTCAAGAAGTTGCATAGAGCTCACAAAGACCCAGTTTGTATTAGCGGTACTTTTTACAAAGTCACCAGCAACTTCAATCGCTATTTCCATGGCATCTTGTTGGTGCATCAACTGCCGGTCTACACATTTTGTCATGTATTACATCTTACTAGTTTTAACGAACATCTACTAAGTAACTTTATTATTTTCTTCTTTCTTTACCTTTTGAATACTCTAGAATTGTTCACTTGCTATAGTCGGAAAAGATATGAAGTTTACAATGTTTGAAGATGATGATATTGATCCATATCTCAAGTTATTCGAAGCCACTCAGACTGATTCACAAACCCCAGTTGTATCCGATTCTGGTCCTACACCGATGGAACAAGATCAGCCTGCATCTTAACAGACTGAGTTCGTATACACCCAGTGACTACAATTTGTCTTATGTACTGTTTACTTTTATTTGTAAAAAGAAGTGAATAAAAATTACGACATGAATATTGTGATTTCTTGATTATTCACTTCATATATTTCATTTATTGTCTTGGTTGTTGTATCTGAAACTTCTGTTCAGCCTGTAGCGCTTTCATAAATTTTAAAAAAGGAATTACCTAGCCATAGTCATAACTCGCTAGGAGATCCTGAAGTTTGAGCTGTAGGGATTATACTTCCTGTTTATCATATGATACTGATCAGTTGGTTAGTATTAAATTAGTTTAGTTGTTTCCTTGTAATCATACCTAAATCATTTGTGCGGCGAAAATGACAACGTATTATCCTTTTAAATGTCTGTTTGCTATCTGTGAAGCAAGATTCTTAAGCTTAAATGAAATGAACATGTATTAGTTAAGATGCAGATGTGCGTATACTGAACTGTAAAGGGACACTTTTCATAAGGGAGTTAGGGTAATCATTACCTTAGGTGATGGCTTTTAGCATCATAATGTGAAAAATTACGTTCATATTCTTTATCGAGTTCATTGATTAGATTCATGTACTTAATTGTGCTTCTTCATGTCTCTGGGATATTATATGAACAATGGACTTCTGTGATACCATCTAGTTCTTCAGTTATGTGTATCTTAGTTACTTATTTTTGCAGGCACACAGTCGTACACAAGCTTCAGAAAATCGCTACAACTGCAAGAAAGTTGTGGAGAGAAGAATGTCTCACACCACGCCAACATGTTTAATAAGCAATAAGAGACTAAACAAAATGTTAGAATGGGAGAATAGATAGTGATTGAATGATGAGATGCTCGTTTCTCACAACAAAGTTAACAGTTATAATATCTTTCCAACTTATCTTTGATACTGATCCTTTATCCTCCAGTTAGGGTTAATTATTAGAATGTAGACTGGTCATCCTCATGTAGTTGCTGTCCAACATCTGCGTTATTAATCACCTCTAAATTTGATTGGTCACTGATAAATAAATGCAATTCAAGTAAACCCCTCACAATTATTGCTGATGCTATATTGCTCTGCCTATAGATGTGAAGAGTCTTCCTTTCACTGTTGCAAATGATTACCTCAGTGCTAGTGACATTTTATAACTAGTTTTGAGAACCCACTTTTAATCTGGTTAGTTTTTGCTTTTAATCACTACACTTAGTTCAAGCTTTCACTTGGATACATAAGACCCTTTGGCACCTGACAAATTGCGTCATCTGTGGTGCCAACTGGCCAGATATCTAACTACATATCAAATGACAAGTATGCTGCTCTGCAGTCCTGCTGTACGGCTGTGGGACATGGCCGTCGAAAGCAGAAGATAGGAAGCGACTACAGGGTTTTGATCATAGATGTCTTCGTAGAATTGCTCGTTTTTGATGGAATCACCGTGTGACCAGTGTTGAGGTCAGGCGAAGGATACTAGCCTAGATAGAGCAGTTGATTGATGAGGTTGTGAACCGTAGTCGACTGAGATGGTTTGTACATGTACTGCGCATGCCGATCCACCACCTACCTTGACTTGCCATTCTAGGGGAAGCTAGATTAGGTTGGAAGAGAACTGAGGGTGGTCAAAACAAGACCCGGCACCAGTCGATGAAGTCTCTGACTGTTGGTCTAAACTGTATGTTGTGATTTAGACTACCTGGTCGGGTTCCGTGAGACGATAGGAATCAGTGGTTGAGAACTGTTGGTGACACGGCTGAAAATTGGTCACAATGACGCAGGTGTTTTCACGCCTTAACATTTAAAGCTTGAATATTCACACTAACCTTGATCCTCACATTGTTTGTTCTCTCACACAACTTTATTATTACTCGTTTTCTATCCACTTGTTCCTTACATGCTGCTGTGAAATGCTGCAACTCGAACCGATGCACCTGCGTGCGTGGTTTTAAGGTGTTTTTGTTTATCTGTCTGTCTGTTTGGGGAAACTGATATGGTTTCATTGCTTTTTGAACAACTTTTATTAAAATTTCTTCCTAAGACTATACTACTTTTGGACAACTCTAGGAATGGGGAAGCACGATCTTTCTTGCATAGGGTTTTATCTAACGACGCGATTTACAAATAAATAAGCAGTCCTCAAGGTCTTGCAAATGTGTAAGTGTTGAGGCATAAAGAGCATTTAGATTGAATCCTAGTTGGTGTTTTAAATATGATCAAAAACTGCCTGTTTTCGCAGGCTGCACGCACACATTGACAAAGGTAACTAGTAGTGTAGAGTAAATCAAATACAAAGAATTAGTTGAAGGAGTTGACGGTATCCATCCCCTAGTTGGGGTACCAAAATTAGTAAATAAAGTACGTAGATAGAAAGTTTATAATTCACTCATTTGTGCAACTATTCTGCCACACTATTTGATTCATGACATGATCTAATATAAGTTAAGAGATAACATCATGTTACTAGTGACATAAACCCAATGATAGACGAAGATGCGAGTTTTCTCGAATAAATTCAGAAATTAGTTCAAAGAGGAAACTCCTGATTGTATATTAGAGACAAAACCAGTATGCAACCTATTCAAAATAACCTGATCTCATAAAGGGTTCACTGATATTATAATCTAGCTAAAGGTTGAAGAAAGTCCTCAAAACTGTTTTATAGGTGAAAACATCCAAACTGATTCTGATCACTAAATACAGAATAGACTTAAATTCATACCAACGAATTTCCAACCTAATTATCTTAAGCAGTGATACTTTGTGAAAGCAGAGTAAAAGGAGTCCAAGGTTGTGACGTAATTACAGGTGGTCACTCTGAGCGAAATATGTAGCTGTCCAATAAGATAGTTCAGTAAACTTTCGCAATAACTATCGAAACGGGGTTGACATGATAAGGATCATTCAGATACTGAGGTCTGTAGTTTCACGCTTTTTTCTGCTGACTTTGTGTAATTTCCTTCACATTTAATGCTTAGAAGACTCGGAGTAAAGTAGGTTCTGTGGGATATAACAGACTATCTTGATCCCATTTTTTCTTTTAGGTAGAACATGGAAAAGGATGAACACTATTGTAGCGTAAGCTATAAGCACTGCTTCAACCTATGGGTCGATGTTCTATATAGTTAAACACCTAGTGTCTTTCATCAAGAGTTGAAGTAATTATTTGTAGAACCTTACATCTGAATTAAATCAGGAAATATTCTAGAGTATTGTTCAAGTTGTATGTGATGATTCGGTTTCACATACCAAGAAGGAACACTATATCATTCTAGCATATTCTGTTTCAGTCTTGAGCGTCTTCGTTGGCTCATGCAGACAAGAATATTTATTTGCGTAGTATACATGGTACTTTTTTTGGTGTGTAGCAGTACTTGTTTGCGAATTAAGTTGTAAATTTTCGTGAAAGTCGCTTGTTATTCTAAAGATATGCAGTTATTCAGCAGTCGTGAAAAGGAGGACCGAAATCCGATTTACTCTTGGAAGGAAACTCACAAATTAGCTACACACACTTACTGATTCCACCCTAAACGTTTTCGACCTGTCCAAGTTATTTATAACTTTTCAGAGTCAAACCACTACAAATAAGTGTGGTCTCTGAACAGTGGATACAAACACTTAGATGTTCAACGAAAATGGTACTACAGAATTGGTATATATTCTGGCACCTAGTTTTGATCATAGACAGTTGGGTTGTTCATTTTTTGATTATTTCACACTGGGTATTCTTTTTACAGGAAAGAGGTACTAACAGTATCTTGATACTAATGCAAAAGTTCTTAGGTTCATCAATTTCTGTAAACTTGCAGTCATTATTACTTGAAAATACAAAATGAATTGTTAGTGGTCAATTATCATTGCCTTTCATACTACTAGGTGAGTACTTCTGATGTAGAAAGCATATTTCTAGATGTAATATATATGCTATTAAGCGAAACAATTAATATTCCACAACTGGGATGACAAGTTTGATTGCGTACATAGTGGCAAACTGTTTATTAAAAAAACTAATAGGGTGATGCATTGGCTTAAACACTTGACTTTCAATTAATGTATACAGAGTTCGAATCCCTCCCTGCCTGCTTCAACATGAACAACTGTATGGTGTCACACATTGAGTGTAGCTCATAACCTATTAAATAAACGTATGTACCGAGTTGAGTTGAACTACATTATTTCAAATAGTGGTTGAGAAAAGAGTCGAGGACAGTTCACTCTAACTGGATTGTCTCTCGCTCAATCTGGGTTGTTTAGAGATTGACTGTCTAAAGGAATCAAATCATTGGGATAGTGATACTCGTTACTCAGGGTCTTGTCGCAAATATTCCTTAACTGTATCTCGTACAGTTTTGTTTACTACGCTTATTAACTGTTATTTGTTCCATAGGCGATTCTGCACTCTATGGTCTTTTCTCAGTATCTTAAATAGCTAAACTGACCACAACCTATAGAGTTTTCTTTTTGTATGTCTAGGGTTTATCATGCTTAATTTTAAATCATGAATACTTACTACTGGCAAAAACAGTGACAATGATGGTCACATACTAATCCTGTGATGCAGACTTTCTGAGCAAAGATAATCGGTTAATAAATGTACTTATTCAAGAAAGTGTCCGAAGTTACAATTGTCTACCACTGCTTATTTGTAGGACATATTTAGGTAAGTGTTTATGGTCATGAAACAATGTCTAGCCTATCCGATTTTGTGTTCCATAGTTCTTGCAGTAGATGTATACCACATATCCATCACTATATGTGTGGCATCATTGTGTTTCCGTTATAAGTTATTGTTGATTTGGAAAATCACAACAAGTCGACAGATTTCTAACTCCTAAGTTATATATATATATATATATATATATATATATATATATATATATATATATATATGTTATCGATGTCCATTATCTTCATTCTATTTGAACTAGGCTTATGTAACCAGTACGCAATTCTGTAACTGGCATTTTACGCCCTCTGAGTTGATTACTCTTCGTTCGGACTGTAATGCAGCTGCTCTTAAACGATTACAGTTAACTTTGGAAACAGAAGATAATGATACGAAATATTCATCCATTGGATTAGATTTTGATCAAGAGCTTAAAATCGTCAAACATTATGTCTACTTAATGAAAGTTTTATTTGACAAGTTTACAAATCCTCAGTTACCGAATGATGTAAGCACACTTTTTAAAAATCTAATTTGTTTTGTTTTTTTTTCAAATCAATTTTCTGATTGTTAACCAGATGGAGATTTTTAGTTAATAATGGTAAAACTGAATAATGTTTAAATCTGTACGGGTAAGATTTTTACACATTTTCAAAAGTCGATCTTTAAAAGATAGTAAAAATTGTGAAATGCCTCACTTTTCTTTAAAAGGGTATCGAATGCTGAGTAAGTAATTGTTGAGAATTCGCAGAAAATGAAATGCATTCTGCTGTAAGTTCGTCCTCGTTTCGTCCACCTTTCTATTAAAAAAACTAAGTGAACACTATAGAATCCCCTTGATTATTACTATCATGCTTGAAGTATTCATTGTATAGGATGTATTTTCGCTTGTGTAATCCCGGCGTAGTATATTAGAAGTATGTTTGATATCCTCAAGAAATCTTGAATTATATTCCCCTAAAAATGTTATTTTCTTTTACCTATTAGGTTAATGGAAAAAAGTTTCTCTCTGACGCAATCTAAAATGAATTGCGATACAACTATGTTATCTAGTACAGACAGACAAAAAAAACAAGGAGCTGGTGATTTGATAAGGTACAGAAAAGGTGTAGAGAAGTCAGATAATCAAGACTTAAAGCAGACAGTCTGTAAATGTTGTCCGTGTGTTCAACCACTACACTTTTTTTTAACTCGTTGTCAGACTGCTAGTGCTTTGGCTTGCCTAAAATTCTCAATAACTTCATTTCTCATATAGTAAAAGAGTAGATGTGCGTATTGCATGCACTTCAAGTCTAGATGTTTAGCAACAGTAGTTTTCTAGTTGAATCAAATTTCAAATTCCTCCTGTTCATCGTTTCCATTACCTGTTGTTGGGAGTTTATCGACGATGAATATATTTCTCTATGATAGTCTCAGTAACTCTTACCTTTCCTCAACTAGTTTCTTACATCTACAACTGGTGACTATTGATTAACCCTGGTACCTCACCCATCGCTTCTTATTTCACTTCTCACTACTGCTTGTGATCCTTATGAAAACGTTTAGATAGTTCGTGCCAGTTGGGTCGAATATTGTAACATCACTAAATTCTTACCTTCATACAGTATATACGAAACTCCCCAATCCCGTGTATCTTGTGTTCAATGTCACACAAATGCAGATATGCTTTTACCAACATAATTAAACAGGCAGATAGATGGAATCAACAGAAAACCTCACATAAAGGTGCATCGGTCCAAGTTGCCGCATCCCACAGTAGCATGTAAAGAACAAGTGGATAGAAAACGACTGATATCAAAGCAGGCAAAGTAGTACAAGAGAATAAAAAATCTGAACATAAAGGTTAGTTTGAATATTCAAGCTTCAGACGTCAAAGGATGAATACATCTGCGCCATTGTGGCCGATTTTCAGCCATGTCATCAAAAGTCCTCAACCACTGATTCCTATCTTCTCACAGAACCCGGCCAGGTATCCGACATCTCCTTATGCTTCTCAGATCAACAGTTACTGACTGGTGCCATGTCTTGGTTTGGCCATCCAGAAGCCTTTTCCAACCTACTCGAGCAATTCTACTAAGACATCTGTGATCAGAACCTTGTAATCCCTTCATATTTTATACTTTTAACGGCCACATCTCACAGTCGTAGAACAAGAGAGAACGGACTGCAGCGTAGTATAATCCTCCTTTAAAATGTAGGTGGATATCTGGCCAATTGGCGCCACAGATGACACAGTTTGCGAGATGAGATTTCATTCGGGCTAATGCAACTCCCTTCACAATCATATTCTAATTGTTTCGTTCTTCGATCCCCTCTAATTGTGACTAACAGTGATATCAGCATGACCTATTTTTGCATCACTGCGTTGATGTCAGTAGTTTCCCAGTTGGATATTATCTCTCTTCCAAGTTCGCACTATGGCTTGAACACTCCACGTGACTGACATTTCTAAACTTTATTCACAAGGAAGTCCTCAGTATTTGTCTCAAAGTATTTAAGCAATGAAATTTTTAATGGAAATGACCTACATCCATAATAGACCAAATGTCTCTTTTCAAATTTTTGTTTTTATTGATAGTTTTACAAGTGTCAAAGTTTGTATTGTCTTTGTATTTCACTTGTTACAGTTAAAAAATGTGGGTTCATCATTGAAAGACGGCATAAATTTTCTGTTTGATTACATTCACATTTCATTATCACAAGAAGTGTATATATTTCTTGAGAGTTCCAGCTTTGTTAATGAATACTGGTAATCACGAAATCCTGATTTCCTTTTAAAAGTCCAACTTAGAATGTAATGTACTAAATTGTCCCATCACTTATACTGATGAGCATATTGAATTTGAGAAATAATCATTCACAACTAATCAAGCTGTAGCACTAGATATTATTGGCATGAATTTCATGTGAAATGTGAGATTTTTCTAATCCATTCCGAAACTGTCTACTTCATGAATCATTGGAAATAGGCTAATTAGGCCGTTCGTCAGTTAAATTGTTGACACGTTTTGATATTGCTCCATGGAATAGCTTTTGTTTGTTTTCGTTGCTTTCCTTTTGAATAATCTATTTCCAACAAAAAGTTGCAAGTGTAAACGCATTTACTGTTCCCTAATCAGATCATGTGTGGAGGTGTAGCTCTGGTTTTTGTAGTTGAATTTCAACTAGTGAGTCGTGATTTCGAATTCCACTCCACCTACTGGGATCTACGCAGCTGAGGTGGCTTGGATACTTGCTACACATACCAAGTCACCGCCTACCTCGATGTGTCATGCTAGGGGAAGCTAGATTAGGCCCGAATAAAGTTCTAGGTGACCAGACCAATACCTGATACCAGTCGATAAACCCTCTGACTATTGGTCTGAACCGTATGAGATGTAGACTGCCTAGTCGACGTATCCAAGATGAAAGGAATCAGTGGTTGAGGAGTTTTGGTGACATGGCTAACAATGGGTCACAATGGCGCAGATGTATTCACCCTTTGACATCCAAAGCTTGACTATTCACACTAACCTTTATCTTCGAATTGTTTATTGTCTTGGTTGTATTGTGTTCTCTGAGGTGAGTTGCTTCATCGTCTTCCTAGACGACGTTTTCAGCACTTACTTCAGCTCAGACAATACAATACAGCCAAGACCATCCACCTCAGCTACAAATATTCTCCACCATTTCAACATTGTTAATTGTCTCATAAAACTTTGTCTCCTTTGATATCACTCTTGTTCTATCTACCTGTCTTTGTGTATTACTGTGGAGTGTAGCAACTTGAACCGATGCACTTGTGTCCGATGGTCTACATTGATTCTGTCTGTATGTTAGATAGTATTATAAGCCCTTATGCTATAGCTGTGGTTCATCAATTACTGCACTACCGTGCATGTGGTTGCTGATTGCATTTCTTTTTTAAAATCGAATTATATATTTATAATCGTATCAACTAGGGAAATTTATTTAATACAGCATAATGTTAACTTTTCATATTGTTTTATTTATTTCAGGTATACGGTTTCGCTGTTACATATTTCAAACGTTTTTATCTTAACCACTCAGTTATGGACTTTTATCCACGTGATATAATGTTAACTTGTTTATATATTGCTTGTAAAGCAGCTGATTTTCCGATTGGATTGAAAACATTTATTTCACATATTCCTAGAAATCAAGAAAGATACACTTATCTTGTTCTAAACTCTGAACTTTTCCTACTTGAATCTTTGGGTTATGATCTGTGGGTATTCACTCCATATCAAGCATTAACTGGATTTGTAGTTGATTTAGTAGCATATCAAGTAAGTAATTCTTTTGCTTCATGTCTATTTATTTGATGGTCAATAATAATCAGTATAAAGTTATTCAGCCTGGTACATATCTTATTCCACTAGACTATAGACTACGTTTATTGTATGATGGTTAATAATATTATTACCTGGTTGATATGACTGTAGTAGGTGGGTTCGAACTCATGGCCCAATAAATGAAAGTTGATTTCTAAGCCAATGAGATATATTACCACCTGTTTGTTTGGTAGCATATTTATGGAAATGTATTTGTACAAAATAAACTTCATTATTGTACTTTATACTTTTGAGGTGTTTATGGTTAAAGTAATTATAACTTTGTTGACATCTTGACTTCTTACAAAAGAAGGGAATTCAGTCCTGTTTGTAGTCTAACATAAGACCTCCTTCATCGTAAGAGGAAGTGAAGAATATCTAGATTGTATGACGCTATTTATCCGAAAGTGTTTATTTGATATTTGATTGAGTTATCATTTGGCTGCAACACCCAAACAGACAGTAACTTTGTTGATTTATTTATTGATTAGTTCACACTATAGACTGATGTTAACCATATCCGTAACTCGATCACATCCGAAGATGAAATTTAGACACTGTTGTATAGTTCCACTCTAGTTCTCTTTTTATATGTATCGTACGGCGAAACAGTATTATTTGCTGATGATGTCTTACTTCACAGAGACTGACCTACTCCCTGGAGGTATTGTGTTGCTGGGTGAAGACTCTGACGCAATGCAGGATCTTGTGAACGCAGTGAGCAGAAATCTGAGTATGTTTGGCATGGGTTTTGATGGCATCCGTCAAATTTAAGATGATGCTACAAAACTGGTTTGCTGCAAGTACTCTCAGTTTGATGATATGGAGTGAAGTGGTGGGATGTATCGACCTCTTCACTTACTTAGGGAGTTGCATCACCCCAAACGGGTTGGTTCCTGGCAAAATCTCAGCCTGGATACAGAAAGCCCATCTGGGATTTGCCAACATCCATCGTCTGTGGCACCAACTAGTGATATACCCCGACCATCTATCATAGGACAAGAATACTGCCCTGCAGTCCGTACTCTCTTGTTCTACGGCTGTGAGACACGGCCGTTAAAAGTAGAAGACATTAGGCGGTTACTGCATATTTATCATCGGTGTCTTCACAGCATTACTCGCGTTTAGTGGAATCACTGTGTGACCAATGTTGAGGTCAGACGAAGGATACTAAGATTGTGAACCTTAGTCGACTGAGATGGTTTGTACATGTACTGCGCATCCCGACGCACCACCTACCTTGGCGTTCCATGCTCGGGGAGTCGGATTAGGTTGGAAGAAGGTTCAGAGTGACCAGTCCAACATGTGGCACCAGTCGACGAAGTCTTTGACTGTTGGTCTAAACCTGTGTGGGGCGATTTAGACTACCTGGTCGGGTTCCGTGAGACGATAGGAATCAGTGGTTGAGAACTGTTGGTGACACGGCTGAAAATTGGTCACAATGACGCAGATGTTTTCACCCCTTGAATATTCACACCAACCTTTATCTTCAGATTGTTCGTTCTCTCATACAATTTTGTCCGCTTTGATATCAGTCTTTTTCTATGCACTTATTCTTTGTATACCACTGTGAAATGTGACAACTTGGACTGATCCGAGGTTCTCCGTTGTTTTTGTCAGTCAGTCAGTCGTCTACTAAAAGTGAAAACCTCTTTAAAACTGATTTTTGCGGTGGGTATTGTCTATAAAAGCAAAACACTTTTTTATCGACCATACTAACCCATGTTGCTAACTTTCGTTAATTTGTATGAACAATAAAAGTTCACCTTTGTCCCTGGTTTGTTGTTACGTCTTCACTCTAATTTCTCTGGATTTTTCAAGTTTTCAATAATCATACTAATCCTAGCGTTCCTTAAAAGTGTTATGAATAGCGGATTTATTCTAAGTATTGTTCTCAATATTATGAATATAGCTGAAAATGCAGTCCATTGGTAGTGTGGAAGTACTTGGACTGAACAATTATCCACATCTGCTATGCATGGACATTTGGTACTATGTGGCCAACCAAACCTGGATGGTTTTGGTGAGTTTCGAACCCGTAACTCACTGGTTGAAAGGTGACCACCCAAACTTGTGACCAATAGTCTCAGCGCAACCCATCTAAGGTATTGACCGCACTCAGTAGTTGAGGACTTGAAAACTGAATGCATAAAATACTAAACCATAGCTTCGCATATCGAAATAGTCATATCGATCACATTTTTCGCATCTTACTGGTTGGTTTTTTCCCCACCATTTCTAGAGACGAATTTGCCGTACACAGGATGAATCACACCTCCCAGACGATAGATCTGATGCACAACTTGTTGATGAATTGTGTAAAGAAGGTGTAAATCTAATCAATCTATGGTATCAAACTGATTTATGCCTTACAGTCCATCCTAGCCAGTTTGCTTTGGCCGTTTTGGTGGAACTTGGTCATGCTCGTCCACAGTTAGATGTAGAAGTGTTTGTCAGGGATGAATTGTGCGGTTGTGATCCAATCCAGAAATACAAACAACATTCTGATGTGGATGATGAAGAAGAAGTATCAGATGTCAAGCCAAAAAATAATATAAAATGTGATCCAGAAACTCGTTGGCAAGAACTTTCTTCTCGTTTAGATTTTATTCGTCAAACAGTTGATGAATTCCAATTTATTACTGATTTAGGCCCTGTGGGCGAAGAAGAGGTGATTTTGGATAAATGTCGTAACCCACTGTACAACTTGGAATCTGATGAGTATGCAGAAGCTAAATCAAAAGCTGACAAGCTTATGGCTATGCTTGAGTAATAATATTAATTTTTGTATCATATGCCATATGTATAGTCCTTGTATATTCTATATCCGAGACTTTTATTATCCATAAAGATTTTATACTTCACTTCTCTTCTGCTAAAATGTGAGTACTCATTTTGTGACTTACCCGTATTGTGTTGTATATTACATCATTGTGAGCTTACCTACAATCCCTAAATGAACAACAAATCTCTCATTCAAAATCTTTTACGTATCCACTTTATTCTGATGACACACACTACTAGTCACTTTTATAAATAAAGGGCCGTAGTTTGTTTTGTTTTTTGTTAGGACTAAACTTTGGTGACTGGAAATCTTAAGAACAGCCGGCGGCGCTGGAGATGCTTCATTCAAGGTCATTTTTTACGTCCGTTTACCGTGATGTTGGTGCTACAGAAACATTTGAGTAACTACGCGACGAAGATTACGTTGCAGGTTGGATGTGAAGTTTGATGGATTAGGTAATATGGTTGTAAGAGATGAGTGCATGGTTCGGTCAATGACAGGGCTTTAAAGTCAATAAACCTATTGAAAGTCTAGATATTTTTATTCCTAATGTAAAACAGATTGCCTCCAACCAAGATTTATAAAATTTCAGTAAATTAGCATTCACCTTGATAATTACGTTGTCCTTCGTATTTCTGATTCTGATTGGTCAGTGCATACTAGAACCTGACTGGCCGTCACTAACTTTCTGTCCTACCGTTTTTTCTTTGACAAGCTCATCACTAGGGCTAGTCTTCTGGTAGGTAGATTGAACATTCCAATTTCGGACCACCTACTATATCTATTATATTTAGAAATGTTGGCAATATTCAGTTTATGATCAACACAGATCCATATCAGTTATACACCAGTTGGTAATTACAACCTCTAGACTTTCAAAAACAAGCAAGATCAATCCACTGAATTCCTAAATTTTATGAGAGTGAGGTAGCTTGAATTCATTCTACTTAACTAGTCCTCTCCAGCTCCCTGCAACGCATCTTGATGGTGTTGTTTTCTCTGAACTAGATGGTTTGATCATGAAGCTTCCACTGTCATTCTAATAACGCACTCAGACACTTTGTGCACATCCGTGCAGTAGCCAATGAGTTACACTTATTGCGTCAAGGCTATTGATAGTACCTTACTGCCGAAACGTCGACAGACGGAGCGGGGCTCGAACCCGTGGCCCAGTGGTTGGTAGTCATCTCCTCAAACCACTGAGCCATAACTCCACTCATTGCCATCCTAAATAACATCATCAGCAAGAAGAAAAAGGCTGTTTAGTGTCTGGCTCTTACTATTGACCTGATTCTTAATCAGACATAATGTTAATATTCAGCCGTTTAACTTGGATTTTTATACGTAGTTCGTGTATTCAAGTTGCGTCTGTGTACCCATTCTTTCAAAATATTGAGTTTCTAAGTTGTTTCAGTTAAAGTTTCACTTGCTCAAATGTATCAAGATATTATAAACTTTACATAAACATTCATGTAACTTTCAAGTGCTCGGCTTCTTTATGCGTTACTAATAAACTCGTCTAGTCTGACGGATGAACCTTTTGCGATCAGATGCCAAAATTTGTAGAATATTAAATAATTATCACTCTTATTTTATAAACTTCCTCTGCTATTCCAAAAAGGTGCAACTCACACTCTTTTGATATTCCGCAGATTCCGTGAACCTTCATTGACTGACGTGCGCTACCCGTGCTGAGCTGGGTTCAGTGTGGCCAGACCAATCGACGAAGTCTCTGACTTGGTCTGAGCTATGTTAGGAGACGTAGACTGCCTGACTGGGGTCCCCGAGAAGGTAGGAATCAGTGGTCGAGGACTGTTTATGACATGGCTGAAAACCGGTCACAGTGGTATTCACCCCTTAACATCTAAAGCATGAAAATCGGCACTGACCGTTATCTTCAAATCGTTTATTCTCTCATGCACTTTTATCTACTTTAGCATCAGTCGTTTTCTCTATCCATCTGTTCCTTAGAAACTGGTGTGAAATATGGCAACTTGAGCCGATGCACTCATGTCCAGGGTTCTACGCTGGTGTTTTCTGTCTCTGTTAGATCCCATGATCAGGGCAACAAGCAATCTTTTGTTTACTGTTTTCTACAAAACCTTATCCTAGCTGCTGACTGAATTTATTTAATGCAGTCCTAAAGACTTAACCATGTACCGAACATCTCGAAGACAATTCTAACCCCGTGACTTGGTGGCGCGGCCTTAGATCCTCACCTAGGTATCAGCTCCCTTTGGTTTGCGGATTTGCCTTGCTTACAAGTTTTTGGAGACTGTTCACACAGCTTTATGAATGACCTTCAACTCAGAATATTGTTTCTTTTCTTCTCTTTCTACCTAAATATCCGTAAAAACAAACTGGGTTTATGTGTTACCTAATTTTCCGTCAATACGTTTCGTGTGGAAATACACCGCTATATCGCTCCTCATATGTTCTGCCTCTTTATTGCTGGCTTGTACTAAACAAATTAACAAGAAAATCTCCTTATCATTTCAAACTTATTAACAGTCTACTTAGCTGCATTATCTACGTAGCGTCGTTGTATCTCCCATTAATCCAGTTGTATCGGAGACAAGTTTGTCGTATACTAGACTGAGAACAGCTTTTAAAATGACTACAATCTGTTCGGTTATCCGAGGATATTGGCGAGTTCCTTTTATGTGGTCAGTGTTTCTTAAATTTACTGTACTATCTTTTTTCTTAGTTGGCCGTATGAGTTAGCATGCACAAAACCGAGATCCAGGACTTCATACCGATTGCTTACAACCACTAACCATGTATAAGTATAAAATTTATTTTAGTATCCTTTAGAATGTTGCGGACATAATGTGATTTTCATTTCAACAAGTCAACCTTATGTGTCATGGATAGTTGTTTTAAGAATGCAGTCCCAGTGATGCCATTGGTATTTTTCGAATAAACTAAGCTGAATTTGTAGATTCCTTTCAGGCAAGTGTTTGGTAGAAACGTAGTTAAAAATACCTGCCAATGACAAAGTAACTTTAGAAGGATTAGGTATACCTTTCCATCAAGAGATTAAGTGTATGTAGGTAGGTGAGTAGACACGTTATCAAAAAAGGAATGATGATCTAGCAGTTGAATTGGTTGTGGTGAGCGGTAGATCTGAGGACGAACAAAACGCTGTAGATTTCACTGTTAGTGAACAATAAGCGAATCACATCATTCTGAAAATTGAGGTGAAACCTAGCTATGCACTCAAAGAAACTCAAACCTCTACAGAAATCGGTCAGCAATGTCCAGCAGGATGATCAACTGGTATTGACAAGTATGGATATATGGTAGAAAATTAGTATCCAAGTTTTGGGAAGACATCATATCAAAAGAAGAAAGAGCTTGTCGTATCCCTACATAAGGTGAACTGGAGCATATAATCAATCTGTAGTGAATGGTCTTATCTTCATTTCCGTTTCTTCCCATTCCCTGACATTACAATCAGGCTGTCTGAGCCTTGTACGTTTCCCAGGTATCTTATAATACTGCATTACTATAAATTCCAGGGTAATGGAATGCGAAACGAAATACACTCAACAATCACGTGGACGTCCATGCAGTAGACATTGAGCAACACCCATTATGAGAGGCCTGGTGATACTAAATAAAGCTATGTTCGCGCATGTGACACACCAGTTGGAATTCAACTGCCCGAATTAATGAGCCATAATTCAGTGTAATTGGATACATTTCTACTCTGTTAGTTGATATAACGTTATGGACCTTTGGTTCAAAGATAATCAACTCCGATACTTACCCGCATGGTTTTGAGGGACTCGCTTGGCTGGAGGTACGCGGTCAGTCATCCACGCCATCTGGCACGATCTTGTGTCACATTTTGTTGTTCGCACGCGATCTTCTAGCCAGTTAGACTGGATGCGTTGGTATTTTGGCCCGGTCTATTAAATACAACGTTCCACCTAAATAATCCATTATGGTCTTCCTTGGTCTCATACTCGTTGGTATACAGCAAGCACGAAGAACTAGTGATTCGCCTTTGCATCTGTCAAGTCCATGTGAGATTCATTCCTAAGCATACTTTTATTCTTTTAGCAAGAACCTATTGACAGGATGAAACGGCAACACGGATAATATAAAACATCTAAGTAGAGATAGCTAGGAATGAGAGGAAACCTGATCTTTAATGGGATTATTCTGCAAATGTTGTCGAAGCAGAATGTCCAGATGTGGATGGGAAATAATTATAGTACATTCCATAACTCCAAAGATGCTAACACTCCGCAGAGGCTCACGGGGTGATGAGAGCAGAGTCCTGATAAGAAATTAGGATTTGAAACAACAAAAGTATGCTAAATAGAATGACGTAGCAAACGTTTGTATGTATTTTATCGTGAACCAATCACCAAAGCAATATGACGTTGACGACTGGATCTTTTGTGGAGACTGCATACAATTGTGTATAAACCACTTCAATTATAAGCAATATTTCCTTTCCATCGTTTCTTTTACACATTCTGTACATTATTCCTAATACTTGTAAAAACGAGTGTTGTTTATGTATACACTTTTTTGGTTGTGGCGGTAATTGCATCTTTTGTTGCTGCTAATCGTGGAAATATAATGTGCTTCTAACCCTTCCGACTTCTGCCTCCGTGACTATTGCCTGTCGCGCATAATAACTGGTTGTCTTGGGAATTTACAGGACTTCTCATCCTACTTCCAAATATTACGACAATCAAGCCGACCGACGACCACAGCGGAGAGACGACAAATATCGCCTTCTGATCTCTAGAGTATCCTAAAATTGTGATGGACGATACCGAAGAAATAACCTCCAAGTAACCCGTGATTATCTATCACATAGACGATACTATTTTGTGCTATAACGTATAACGTTTCACACACGTGTATCATAAAATCCATTTTTCTTGTAAATTATACGTAGTTTGTCATTTTGGCTTACTTGACATCCTTTGGGTCCACTACACTTTCTGAATGCATAGATTCCGTTT